ACAACACACTTTATCTATGTTAGAAATATACATATCTATAAAGATAAGGAATGCAATGTAGAGGTCTACCGGGCGGTATTGAAAATATTTAAATTTGTATACACCCCGTAATATATTGACCATACTGCATCATGTGACTATAGATGGTGACATTTCGCGATGTTACATGATCCTGTTTGTACGCGCTGTCTCTATTTTGTTTTATTGTTTAATACATATCCAATGCTAGTAGGAATGATAAAACTAATTATATGTCAGTTCGTGAGTTTGCAATATGTCCACTTTCGCCGCGAGAGACATGTTTTATTTTTATTCAAAGTTAACGGAAAATAGATTGGGAGTTACGCAGGATGAATATGCCCAAGGGTAATAGATGGAACTTCATTTGTGTAACAGAAAACCTTACCGAAATGTCTGCTTGATATATGTTTACAATGTATCAGGAATACCTATATCAGCTATACTAGTATTCTTATATGTATGGACAAAAATAACATAACGTGTTCCATATCTTATATATCTATACAGCTAAAGAAATAGTGGTCAATGCAAATATGGCTATAGGTACTGCTGGCGATTGCCCGCCTGGTCTGGAAAAGAAAACGGTATACAACGAAACCAAAACAAAAATTGAGAAAGCGGTAATAATAACAATTTCTTAACTATTTCTAGTTTAAAAAGACTAAAGTAAGGTTTGTTTATTATTCAGTTCTTAAACAGTGTCTTGTTTTGTTTATCAGTTTTATTTATTTATATTTTAATGTTCAGTTAACGAATCACTTTCGCAAAGAAATAAATAGTTTGTCCAATGATTGAGTGTCTCTTATTTATTTAATTTTAACTTTTTATTCTGTCAGGTCAAAGATGCGCATCCTGCCAGTAAATCGGTTCACGCTTTTAACATCAGGTAGGGGAGTTTCTGTTTATGTAAATATTTGAGGGTATATTAAAAGCTGTTGTTTATGGTTAGTAAATTATCCGTCAATGACTGACATCTGCTTCGTACATTTACATGCAATCACGCCTAGAAAACGATTTCGTTTTATGTGCGATATGGTTTTATATTGTACAGTATGAAGTTCAAACAGTTTATGATAAGATCAAGAGTGTCATATTATACCATAATGCCTTAAATTGTTTAATATGCCATGGTTTAAAATCTTGAGAAAATCTAAAAAAAATGTTTGTGGTATCCTATATTTATTTCGTTATTTCTTTTAATGTAACCAAACAACATACAGTGGAACCTTGCTAATCCGAACCCTTCTAATCTGGAATCCTTCCTTATCCGAACAAAACGTCCGGTCCCGATTTTAGTTTTTTTATTTGTTTTGCATGTTAATTCATCTTCACGATTTATGTTCATCAATATATTGCTGAGAATAAATTCCCGATAGATTTTTTTTTTTTCTTTCATCTTGAACATTACAAAAGCTGCATTAGATACTACTTATGTATTTTATTTTTTAAACAGTAAACCATTCATTCCCAAAATCCTTCGGATAAGTTATCCTTGGAACCACTGTATATAAGTATTTTGTTAATTTGAATGTTAAGTTTAGATATTGCCTAAGTATTTTTCTTCACTAGTTATGCATAGCTTATTTGACTATTTATGAGAAACTTTCAGATGTGGCTCACTTAAGTATGAACTACTTATTGTCGTTGACAAAGAAAATGCAGCACAACTATCAAAAGAATTGTCTTCTACGTCAAATCAATCTATAACCTATGATGGAAAACAACTTAGTGTGAATCAGCTGGAAGTAAATGATGTGGATGGTAAAACATTTAATGTCAATCAGATAGGCAAATTTTTTATTTCTCATGAACATTTGATTAAATTAAACATGTTTTTTACACAACTAGCAATTTGTATATATTTAAAGACATGCTCGGCCATTCTTGGTGCCCATATACTGTGTGAAAATTTTCATGTCGTTCAGAAATAATAACAGAATAATCGTGGCTGTTGAAAAATCTTTAAACGATTTTTACTTTAAATCCGAGTGACATTGGCAGATATGTCGTTTTACGTACCTCAGTTGATTTATGTCAGAATGACAGCAGTTTTGTTTTTAGGCTTTTGGAGTTTCTTTTAAACATAATATAACATTTGTTAGGCTGAATAAAATAAATGGCATCTTCACATGAATTATAATGGTTTCTTTGTTGTATAGTAAAACGTATCCACAGCGACACGGAGCAGACATGTGCTGTCTTCAACACAATTGAACAATGTTCTGGCGATTACAGCTGTGAGATACAAAATGGTTTACCAACATGTCAGTAAGTAACAAACACATTTTAGCCACGCAATGAGAAGACCAACATAGTGCGTTTGCGACCAGCATATAACAAGCAAGCCTTCGCATCCGCGCAGTCTGATCAGGATCCATGATGCTGTCCGCTATCGGTTTTTCTACTTGTAATAGGGGTCCGCCTGGGCTCCTTGCCATTGGTTCTTGTTGCTGGGTCATATGGGGGTTGCGTTCATTGAACGCCGCCTTTCCTTGTTGATCTTGTTTTTCATATTTGAAAGTAAACAGCATGGATCTCGATCAGACTGCGCGGATGTACATGCTGGTCTGGATCCATGCTGGTCGCAAAAGTAATTTGTTGTTTTTTCATAGCGCGGCTCATTTGAAAATTCCAGTGTACAAATAAAACGCTGCTTTGCGATATCTTTATAAAATAAAAGCTTCTGATTCTTTCAAACTAATTCTTGTTCCTTATCACATCTTTGTTCATTCAGAAGACACATTTGTTCTTAAGGTTATTTTGACTATGAATTTGATGTAAATGGTTATCATATCATGTCTGCCCAGTCTGTAACTTATTTATAGATATATGGATTCTTACTCAACCAAAATTAGCCGGTGTGTTGCTTTCTTTTAACGAACCACTTTCATATTAACGGGCTCGACATGTTGCCAAATGGTATTTAATTGTTTTGTTTTAATTAACTTAATCCTTAAATCCAATTAACATAGTAATGGATTTTTAGACATAATCAACAGAACACACTTTTTTCAAAAGCATTCACTCAGACATGTCAGAAAATTGAACGGTAACCTTTAAATTCTGCAAGGGATGTGGATGGTATATTTATGTTAGGTATATTATAGTAGAATGTAATATTTATATTTCTGACTTTTTTACTTGTAGGAAAAATGAAAAAGAAGGTATGTATAACATTTTTTACTGTTTTTGTGAACCTTTGCCACATAAGATATTATGATTAGTAAAACAATGATGATCATGAACGTAATCTTCATGCATATTAGCATTAACAAGACTTAGATAATATTTGAACCATTTATCGGAGGATTTTATTATTTCATATGGAACATATTTGAAATCAACAAATTAAACGCCTGTGTGATTTGCGGTTGCCAAAAAGATAAACGTGCGTCTGCGTACTGTCCATTTCCTTCGTCTATGTATTTATAGGAGTATGCAGACAGTCTGCGCGCTCCGCTGACGCATGGCAGGCCAAACGTAAACGTAAAGAAATGTTAATTACCTGTGTTACCAAATTATCCGGCAAATTACTATGTGAATATGCCTATTGTTCAATTATTGTAACTGAACAATTCTTAATAGGACTAAGTTGTTAGAAATAAAGTCTGTATGTATTTCAGAATATATAGCTTGTACCCTTTAAGTAATTTGCGAAATGCAAGAGGAGATTTTGTTTGACAAATTAATGTGTCATAATCGTCTTTTTTTAGATTTATGTATTATCATCTCAATATTTGATGTATAGTTAACTGGTTTAATAGTGGGCCAGTAGGGCTATTTTAAATACCCCCATAAAATAAAGAATCTGTATGCCTTTATAACATGTTTCGATCATTTTAAACACGCATTTTTACTGCAAGAAACATACTGATTTTCACCAAGAAATGTTTTATGTATGACATACTTGAATGAATGGCAATGTGTACCATTTAGAATGAAAAAAGGGAAAAATACTACCTGGATCGGTCTTTTATTTGGTTTTAAAATCCACACAGTGGTATAGGCACTGTGTATCAGTAGCACCGTTATGTCTAATACTCATGTGGCTTTTGGGGGTTGAAAAAAAGTAGACACATACATTATAATAATTATGTATACCATACAAAATCTGTGTCATATAAATTGCAAATTTTATTTGTATTCTTCCAGACAATATGAACTTGATACTCGGGCTTGGTTTAGGAGTTTGCTTCCCCTTGCTTGTATTGGCATTTATAGCTGGTGCTTGTCTTTACAGACAGCTAAGAAGGTCAGAAATAGATGAAAAAAGGTACGTGATGACATTTATCTACTTAAATTGAACATAACTAACTTACTTACTTTACTGGCGTTCGCTCTAACCACATTACGCGTATCCCGATGAGTTTGGTCGCGCGGTCTCAACGTCCCGTAAGTCTGCGGAGGTTGCACCTCGGGCCACGTTGCTCTCGCTCCTGGGTGTCTTTGCATCTTTGGAGGATATACTCTGTAGTCTGGTCCTATTCTCCACAGGGACATATGGGAGAAGAGGATGAACATAACAACAACATCTTCCCTAAACCAATTGCTAGGCTGTTCTACCCAGGTGCTCGTATATGCCTGAAATTAATCCCGAAAAGGCACTTAAGTTGTTCTTTGACCAGTAATGCTAGAAAGTCGCCATATAATACAGATAAATTAATATGAAATTTTACAGTTTTGGTTCGCCGTAAAACGTGCCCTGTTCTGTTTTTGTTAGGGGTACTCCAAGGCGCCTTGCCGCTGGTCCTTGTTGCTGGGTCGTATTGGGGTTGCGTTCTTTGAATTCCTTGTTGATTTTGTTTATTATATGATTTTTTTTTTACAAAAACAGCTGTCTCTATTAATATTGTAATATTTTTGCACTCAAGAATTTGTTTTCATTAATTATTTTGTATTATTATAACATTGCTGCTTGATCAGATAAAATTTACACATTTCAGGCAAGAAAATGGATACTCGAACAAAGCTTTTAGGAAAGAGCTCAGTCCATGGCATGGGCGAATGAAGCAGAACGGGTTTAAACTGGACACTAAGGATTATGTAAACGGATATAAATACGATAAGGACAGATTTCACGACAGTTTTTCGGGGAATAAACATAATTATGACATGCCTGGTCTTTCGTATACATCTATTTAACTCATTATTTACTGACAAGCACGCCCTCACCGTCTTGTCAAGACCTGCATTGCTCGCTTTTTTCAAGTACATCTTTTTAAGTTTTCATATAAGTTTAAAAGATAGACAAGTCAAATTAAGATATTTAGCGTGGTAAGGGTGGTTAGCCAGTATATTTATTATATACTATATTGCTTGTATTGTTCCATTGTATATAAATACAAGATTTGTAGCTCTCCTTGCTTACAACAAAAGCATATTTTTACATATTTTTACCGGAAATATACATACATGTATTTTGATTTATTTTTAATATAAATAAGACTTGCTTTACGATTCTCATTTGCGCAGTTTGACTAAAGATGTTATCTTTTGCATGAAGCGTAATAATATTTTTGAGATGATTTTAATTGGATTAAAATTTGCATTTAATTAGTATTATGATTATCATTATTATTATTATTATTAATGAGCAATAAATGAGTGTAATGACATGATATGCAATATCAAAAACTAAATACAGTCAAAACATATTTGAATGTAACAGTATGATTTTTGTAAGAGAATCATTACTGTATATACAAAATTAGCTTTGTTGACATAATTTGTTTTACACTTAAGATTTTTTAATGAACTCTTGGCCAGACACCTAAATTGATATTATGTCCCTGTTCACGTGCTTCCAGTTTCATTGAATAACATTTGCTAATAAGATGTGCAATTTATTTCGATTGGCGTGTTCTTATGTTCATCCCGTTCAGGAGTCCTTAAGGTATTACCATCCTAATGCATTACCTCCGCTTTGAAGAGTATTAAAATAGCCTAGAACTATAATTGTTAACTACATTGAAAATAAGGGCCGTGGGTTCAATCCCCAGAAGGTTCAACTTTTTTTTTTCTTTCTTTTTTCTTTAAATATTATGTTTGTATCTCTCGTGTCCCATTTGGAAAGAAAAAAGTGTTTAATTCTAATTTTTTAATCTATATGGGCATTTATTGGCTAAATGATGCTAAATCTAGTAATAAATATGGTACCTGATATTCTCATAGTGTACTAAAATCTAAAACTAGACGGTAAAAGTATTTCATATTTTACAAGATCAACCAATATACATTTTTAAAAATTGAGGGAAACTTTGAAAACAGGCACTCCTTTTGGTAAATTTTAAGGATTTTTTAAATAAGGCTCCCTTAGTAGGAAAATGGTCAGACAGGTGGTAAAAATGGGAGCTGAATGGTACTGCATTTGTATTTGTTTCTTACCAAAATTTATGGGAAAACATTTTTCATTAGAATATTATTGCAGATTATATAAAGGTTCCTCATTTCTAAAAAAGAACCCTCATAACATCCTAGCTTGAATTTAGAAAAGTGGCCATAACTTGATTTCCGTACGGTAAACTTTTTTTTTAATTGTACATACATGTGTACTTTAAGTAATAGAAAGAGCACCGAAACACGAGGTTATCTGATTTGTACGAGGGGGCGTAGCTCCCCCGAGTATTAATCAGATTACCGAGTGTTTTGGTGTTCTTTCTCTTTTGTATCATAGTCAAACATAAAAACACGTTCCCTGTTGTTACAATATGAAACCCCGGCAAAAATGAACCAATGAACGAGCATCTAAATATGACATTTCTGTCGATTTCACTTTCACTGCCGTCACAATGTGTAAACCCCAGCAATAATGAGCCAATCAATGGGCATGCTCTGGAGTGCGGGTAACTAATACGCGCACTCCAGTTAACGCACTGTGCATGTATATGTATACGACTTAACCCTGACACATTTTCAACAGAAAGTTCTCCAAACTATGATACAAGTAATAGAAAGAGCACCGAAACAATAGGCTATCTGATTTGTACGAGGGGGCGTAGCCCCCGAGTATTAATCAGATTGCCGTGTGTTTTGGTGTTCTTTCTCTTTTGTATCATAGTCAAACATAAAAGCACGTTCCCTGTTGTCACAATATGAAACCCCGGCAAAAATGAACCAATGAACGAATATCTGAATATGACATTTCTGTCGCTTTCCCTTTCTCTGCCGTCACAATATGTAAACCCCATCAAAAATGAGCCAATCAATGGACATGCTCTGGAGTGCGGGTAACTAATACCCGCACTCCAGTTAACGCAATGGGCATGTATATGTATACGATTTCACCCTGACACATTTTCAACAGAAAGGTCTCCAAACTATGATACAAGGTATATATCTGACCTATGATGTATTTTTTTAGTTCCTTATAGTGCCCATTAGGGTCGTAATACCTTAATTATATATTGGTGTTAATGTGAAAAAATACTCTATTTGCCTGTCCCACTACGGAATATATGTGTAGCAGATGAATACATGTACTATTTTGTCATGGCGAGCGAGCCAAAGTTCCTTCTATGTAAATATTTATTCGCTCATATTGTTTGTATTTGATAATATTTTTGAGAAAAGGAATATATAGACATATTTTATTTATAGCAAAACTTACAGTATGTGCCATATATACATGTATATATATATATAACCTTATTTTATTTCAGTGTCCCTCTTGTTCACTTTATGGTGAAATAAAATGTGAAGTTTTGATAAACTTTTTGCTCAATCTTTCATCAAGGAATATTTCTTTAATTGCAGGATCAAACCATATTTTCTAATCAATCACGTTTAAATAATATAAGTCTTTAGCGTAACATTGATTGTTTTACATATTGTTAAACCAAAAAAGTGCTTTACCAGGGTCATGTAATGATCTTTTAATTGGTTACCAAATGTTCCTTTCCCTTTATAATACCTTTATCTCAGAATATATTTTGTCGAAATAAAGATTCGGACTAACTTGTTAGTTTTGTCATATTTAACTTTAAAACTCATCACTATACAGGAATAAAATGAAAAGGTTGAAATGTTGCTCACGGTGAAATATGGAAATATGTATTATCTCAATGAGTGTTGTTTCTTTGAAGAAACCCTTATATTTTAATGTCAACACACAAAAAAATAAAAAATGAAAATATTTAAATATATTGTGCCAGTCATTTGTTAATAAATTATCTTATATAAAATTACCGTGTTATTTTTCTTTAATTAACCTTTATTTATGTGGCATATATGTTTATTTGTGTCACTATACACACATCAAGAATAGTCACTATTACTTATCCTTGATGGGTTTTAAGCGACACGACAACACTGTTGAGGACATATGGCGACGTCCCAGCTTTCCTGGTGGACGGAAACATCAGTTAAACCTCCGCCTATTGTTTTCATCGATATTTGAAATACTTATGGAAAATGTGACAATTGCATGTATACATCCACTTTAAATCAGGCTACAATTGCACAAATATCTTTAATTCACATGTATCAATGCACTTTACGTTTTGCTCTATAAATAAAACATTTGAAGTGAAGTGCACCTGTTGATCTATGTAAGAACTTCATTTTATCATTTTTATCTATTTTATTGTGTTGTTATTATTATTGTTGTTGTTGTTGTTGTTGTTGTTGATGTTGATGATGATGCTATTGATGTTGTTGTTTATTTGTCTTCAAATTTAAAGATGTTTCTTAAGCTATCTTAAGAAAAGTTTACCCTATTTAGTCATATTTTCGTTTCATAAATCGTCTAGAATGGTACCATTCCAGATAACCATATGTTTCAAATATCAATCTGACTAAAGTTCAGATCTACCATTTCTCTGTTATGTAATCTGATTACGGCCGTATATGTTTCGCTTTCATTATAATTCGGAGAAAGCTAGTTTAGCCATGCAATCAAACCGGTTTTCACATAGACATTAGAAAAAGTACCGTTATCGTAGAACTTAAAAAAAGTGTTGAATTTTGTTAGAAAATAAAATGTTTGAAGTAATTATTAACAAAAAAATAATAGTCAATTTTTAATAGGCAAGATTGTTTTGCCAGCTTACCTCTCAGCTATATGGACAACAGAAAGTTTTTTCTCGAAATCATGACAATTTCCTACTCAGTCTTGGTTTTCCCAGGGTTAAAATTAGAAAACGCGTCGCTTTCAAAATTATGAAATATGTCCGATGATTGTCTATGTGAAAGATCACCAGAAGTGCAACACAAGTGCAACATCGCTGACGCCCCCTAGCACCAGCTTAAGCGGTATATGATCTGCATCACAAACGTGCTGGAATCAATCATCCCGAAAGAAGGACCAGAAAAATATAACAACACTAGCAACGATTGACAGCTGTCAAGACTTCATGGATACACTAGGGAAGGAGTCCCTTTCCTATAGCACTGTGAAAAAAATTGTCTGCTGAAGGGAGAGCATTGGAGATGATGAGTGGCCTGTGCGGCCAAAGAGGCCACCAAAGATGACACTGCCGAAGCTGTGCCCAATCTGGTCATGTGCAACAGAAGGTGAGACCTCCGAAGCATTGCTTGGGGAGTGGGTATTAGCTTTGGTTCGGTTCAGGCAATTCTGACTGATGACTATGGCATGTCAAAGGTTTTCGCTACATGGGTAAAAAGAAAGTTGACTAACGTCCAGAGACAGACCAGGCTTGACATTTCAAGATATCTTTTGTCTTACTACGAGGATGAACCTGATTTTGTCTACCGTATCGTAACTCAGGATGAAACATGGGTCCATCACTTCGATCCAGATCTAAAAAAACGTGCATGCAGTGGAAGCACCCTGGCTCACCCCTTCTGAAGAAATTCAAGAGAGTGCCATCAGCAGGGAAGATGATAGCTTCAATTGTTTTAGGATAGTCAGGGGATAATCATGATTGACTATCTTGAGAAAGTCGTACCATAAATGGTACGTATTATGCAGACGAATTGAGACGTCTGTGTCAAGAAATCGCGCTCAAATGCACGATAATGCGCCATTGGAGGCGGTCAATGAGTACTTTGAGGACCAAAAGAGTTCTACTTTGAAGGATACTTTTGCTTGTGTCCCTTGTTGTTTTCTCGTCTACGGTTAGTATCTTCCCCTTTGCCTTTAGTTTTTATTTCTTTGATTACCCCCCCCCCTTCCCCCCTTCCCCCGGTCTCCTGTCCCCTTCCCCTTTGTGGGCCTATTATTCGTTTCTTTAATACCTATTCAGTTACAAATTATTTATCATTTAATGATTAACCTGTCCGTGCTCTGTCTTTGCCCTGTCCAGTTTTTGTTTGGGGTCCGCCTGGGCTCCTTGCCATTGGTTCTTGTTGCTGGGTCATATGGGGGTTGCGTTCATTGAACGCCGCCTTTCCTTGTTGATCTTGATTATCATATTTAAGCAAGTTGGAGCAAAGGTGGACAAAGTGCATTGATGTAGAGGGCGATTAGTTGGGTTCTCTGTCTACCCGAAGGCAAATAACATTTTGATCAATCCAAGTATATTGCTGTAAATGTGGGAAATGTAAATCAATACTTGTTTAAGCTTGTATTATTTGGACATCGTTCTTGTATCATTACCTTTCCAGTTCTATATAATTTTAAGTAAAATGTTCTAAGATCGAATATATGCATAATATCATTAGATTTATTCGTACATGTGTACTAATAAACTTATGCACGTTCATTAATTTCCCATACTATGGCTCATAGGTAATCTCATAAACAAAAGTTTCCGATACTTAAAGCTATTAGAGACGGGGTGGTGGTAATAGGGTGCATTAGTTAGGCTATTTAACTGATTAAATGATAAACGATAATGTTATTTCTAAATACGTTGAAACGGACTTTATTTAAACCTAATCTTGAACTTTTTGTCAGATTGGTGTTTGCACGTTCATAAATAACCGATTGACATTGAGGCATTATATTTCTTGACTACTGTGTCGGTCACATAACATAGGACTGTCAAATTCTAAAATAATCTTTACTTTTTCACCAACTTCCGGTAAACTACTGCGTCGGTCACATAACAAAAGGTATAGGAATAGGATAGTCTTTTTTCTCCGTTCAATAGTACTAACGGGATCCTCACAGCGGTTACGTTACGCTTTGCTATTTTAACCTGTACTGAACAGGGGAAGTAACCGCTGCGGGAGTTTGAACGGGATCCATACTGTCAAATTCTAAAATACTCTTTTACTTTTTTCACAAACTTCCGGTTAACTTGCAGATACATCGAGGCTAGGAAGATCCCATATTGATGGTATATAAGATAATCGTATTGAACTATTCAGAGATTTATACATTAACACATACTATATATTGTTACATATATCAGCATGCATATTGAACACACACTTAAAAAACAAATAAAACTATAATTATAAAACCAAGCAATATGTTTCATGGTATCCTAGCCTACCCTATGAAGCTAAAAGCTTATTTCCATTGTGGTCCATTTACTGTAATATTATCACACTAACAATAATAATGAATGAATTATTAAGAAAGTAAAATATATGAAAACTCTTGCAAACATTGTACAACAATCAAGACACTTTTGTCGGTATAAACAGACAAATATATTGTACAAAAACAAACTGAAGTAAATTCCGTATAAACCCAGCAAACATTTCATATTGAACCTATGTCGCCCCGATATCATCTGCAATGTCGGTCCGATAATATCGGCATCCGATGTCGAATTGGCATCTGATGTGCAACCCGGCTTAAAGTCGGGCCGCCAATCTACTTTTAAAATAAAAAGAGGTATTGTTTGGTTTTATTAACCTGTCAACTATATACTGATTACACGGTCGATGCACACAATATATTAATATTCGGTAGATTTTCGGTAAGTTCATTGAGATGTACGCTGTACGATGGAATTTTTAATTTGTATCTATGAACTAAGTGTACTGAGCGTTATAGCGCAATAGGGTAAAGTACCAGTTTATAATCTAAGTGCCATACGTGTTTTAAGTTCGAGACCGCGTTGGTTCATGTTTTTTTTTTCTTATAAATACTTTCAACATTTGAAATTATTGAAGCTATATGATTATTTTTTTATGTTCTTTTTGTGTTATAATGTTTTACTTAATTTTATCTATACTATTTTAAATGACATGTTTTAAGAATTCATGTTTAAAACTTAAACGAATTAAAGTCAATAAATGTCTTTTCAACGCCGTAAAACACACAATAAATCGGTTCCATTAAAATATACCGCACAAATAAAGAAAGAGTAGACCTAAAACCATGCCGACTGTAAGGATCGAACCACAGACCTCTCAATATCAGTCATTCTCTTAACCGACTGTGCTATTGTGAATTAATGAAAACCTTCAAATTAAGCTGGCGTGACTTTCAAAACATGAATAATACATTCCACATTAACTCACGTAAACTACACGGACCAAACCGAAGTTGGGTCGAATATTTAAATTATTGCTATAATGTATTCATAATTGACAGGTCAATAAAATCAGACTATAAACATACCGGTACATGAATAAAACTCTGTTTGAAACTACGCTTTATGTTATATATTTTATCCGTAGCGAGCTTCAAATTACACCCACTTTGTGTGACGGTACAACGAAGTTACAATAAAGTCAGTGTAAAATTACCAAAATTGCAGCGCATATGTCGCAAATTTACCTATTTCGTAACTGTTTTTAACAATTTAGGTTTACAGAAAAGTGTAAAGCAACGGTTCGGAGTTGAAATAACATATTTCATTTGATAATAAAAGGAATTCACATATAAGAAGGTATGTATCGAAAATTTAGTCATAATTGTTCATTAATATTCAAAAGTAATTCGGTTTGAAATAGTTTTGTCCAAATTTATACGGTTGTCTAAGTGTAGGTTTGAAATACAAGATTTTATTTGACAAAAACTAAAGACGGTTGTTATTATGTTGTATTAACATGTATTGTGGAATATTGACCTCACTATTAAAACGATTTGATATGAACAGCGGGTACTTCCTGTATCATTCATAACATATCAAATTTAAAATAAGTTAAAAATAAAGGCAACAAAACGTATGACGCAATGTATATACATGAATGAAAATTTTATTTAGAATGTAAACAATCAAAAAATGTAGGGGATATAAATGAAGAACCTATATTAATTCAAAAACATTATAGCACTTATATAAATTTACTTTAAGCCGAACAATTACCGTCCCGGATACATTTCACATTTTACGCATCGGACACTCAATCCCCCACCCATGTTTGTTTAATTATTTTTTACAAAAAAAATACAAGAAATAAAATTTACCGATTGTGTAAAATGACTTTTTTTAAAAAACTCTTTCCGAGAATCCAATCGTCCGGGTCAGTGACAAAATAAAACTGCAAAAGCATATAAACGGGAAATAAACGGAAAATTGTCGAGAAACGGGAATCGTCCGGGATAGAACCTTCATAACTGTTTAAGTCCGTTCCGAAGTGCGTTTTTCCCCATGCGTTGTGGATAATGCCATTTGCTGTAATAATCATACGTGTTGTTGTATTTTTGTTGTGATATCTGAACTATATTGTAAAGATTGTATACATATATATGAAAACATATTGTGGTACATATATCGATACAATTCAGAAATGCAATTGTTTAAGAACCTACATTTTATTTATTCATTTATTTATTTATTTATTTTTATTCATTTATTTGTTTATTTATTTTTTTATTTATATATTTCATTTTAAATTTCATTTCTTCTTTCTATTTATAAGTCACTGCAATTTTGAATCTTAAAATCGGGAAAGGAAAGGCAATATATTCAAATATTCACCAAAATTTAAAAGGTTCTTTTTTCTAAAAAAATCTTCTCTCAGAAACAAAAGTTCCAATGCGCAGTGCATTTAAATACAGGTTCATGGAGGGGAATATCCAAAAATTATTCTTTTCTATGCATTTATAATTGTTACAATCCCTAATCCAATGTGATTTTTTTTTTAATATACATGTGACTTTATCTCTTGTTTATTAAATAAAAATCCCCCATTGTAAGGAATAGTTTTTGAGATAAAGAATTTAGAAAATACATTTTGCTTTTTTCTATGTTTTTTTGCAAAATGAAAATATTCTTTAAAAGATTTAATTATAAATATGGAAATTTTCGCATTGTGTTCTGTTTTTTTAGAACGCGTGTTCTGTTTAGAATCAAAAGTCTTTAACATTCAAACTTACTGGCCCTCAACTCAACTCATCTCTTTTATTTCATAATCAAAGGCCTCCGGCCCAAAATATATTATCAAACAATAAAGCAGCATTTGTTTCAGGTTATGTCAATATAATATCAGTATTTATGACATTAACTTCAATATATTAGCAGTATCTACGACATTGTCTATTAATTTCAATATGAAAGCAGTATTTATGACACTGTCCATCAACCCCAACATAATAGCAGTATTTATGACATTGTCTATTAACTTCAATACAAAAGTAGTACTTATGACATCGTCTATTAACTTCAATATAATAAAAGCATCCATGTCACTGTCTATTTACTTCAATATAAAGCACTATTTATGACATTGTCTATTTAATTCAATACAATAATAGTATTTATGACATTGCCTATTAACTTCAATACAATAGTAGTATTTATGACATTGTCTATTAACAACAATATAAAAGCAGTATTTATGACATTTTCTATTAACTTCAATACAAAAGTAGTATTTATGACATCGTCTATTAACTTCAATATAATAAAAGCATCCATGTCACTGTCTATTAACTTCAATATAAAGCAGTATTTATGACATTGTCTATTAAATTCAATACAATAGTAGTATTTATGACATTGTCTATTTACTTCAACATAGGAGCAGTATTCATGACATTATCTACATTTTTAATAGACTTTACTGTCTATTAACTTCAATACAATAATAGTATTTATGACATTGTCTATTAACTTCAATACAATAGTAGTATTTATGACATTGTCTATTTACTTCAACATAGGAGCAGTATTAATGACATTATCTACAACTTTAATAGACTTTACTGTCTATTAACTTCAATATTAAAGCAGTATTTATGACATTACCTACTAACTTCAACACAATAGCAGTATTTATGACATTGTCTATTACTTTCTTTCAACATAGGAGCAGTATTCATGACATTATCTACGTATATACTAACTTCAATATAATAGCAGTACTCATGACATTGTCCACTAACATCAATAAAATAGCAGTATTCATGACATTGTCTATCAACCTCAACATAACACTCCGTGACTCCGTAAAAATGGTATTGCACGGCCGTGCATACATTTCGACGTGACATCTTTACCGTTATACAAGCATAGTGTAAACACTAGCTAAATGTTAGCGTTATACTATAGACACGCCATTGAAAAATGATTTTTTTTCACTTTAAACGGTCTTTATTTTGGGTATGTGATAAATAGAGCACTAAATTCGTTGAATTCATCGAACTCGTTGTAAAAAATAATATTATGCTCGCAAGAGGCTGACCCTATCAGAACATGTTTCATTTTCTTCCACTTGTGCAACGCCTATAGAATGACTTACACTACTGTATGTTTTACCAATTTATTTGCCAGGGGATTATTCCACTTAGACAAAGTTTTTGAGCGGTCACTCTTTTATCAAGTTGTTAATTTTCTATTCAACCAAAAGAGGTTTAAGACGAAAACGGCAGTCTAGGTTAAACAAAAACTAATTTATCTACTTAGAGTCAATCTGGGTTAGAACAACGCAGTGGACTTCGGAAAATGAGACGTTGGAGAGAAACCAATGGATACTGTAACAAGATACCAAAAATAAAAAGTTTCTGAAAATGATAACATTTCTGAGGCATAAAGGGCCTTTAAATCTTTATTGTTATTGAAATACTCTAAAGTTATGTCAAAAATGGTGGTGTGAAAAAAGAGGTCATTAAATATTATAAAGAACAATACTAATTTTATTGGACTCGTACACACCTGCAGACTCGGCTAGCACTTCGTCCAATATAGTTTTGACGGTTGTTAACTTGTCCAATACGATTCAGTATTGTACTCAACAATGTATAATAAGCTCATATTATCACATGGCATTTAATGGCATGTAATATAATCTTTGTGACTTTTTCTTTTTTTCTCGATATAGAGTGATTTATGTAATATAATAACAACCTGACATCATAAAGGCCTATACAATTTCTAACAATGCTGTAAATAAACGCGAAAAAAAAAATGAATCTAACATGATTATTTTGTTTAAAAAAGTCATGAAATGATGATCATATTCCTTGATATGCTTTGTTACACTCTAAAAAAATTTTAAACTTGAAACTTGAAACTTGAAAACTTGATTTAACGCCTATTTCTACATATAAAATACATATTCAATGGCGTTGTACAGCTATATACCTTATATGTGCTACTCCCAGTGCTACCATACACAATACTCCCAGCAGTGCGACGGTCACAGTGATTGGGTCAATCCCCACCAACATGTAACAATCTACACCCCTGCACCACTGCACATGATAACACATGGGCTAGACTTTATTATATTATTATACAATGAAAATAATAAAAACACTAGAAATATACAAACATGCACAAAACAATTAGGAACAGACAATGCCTTCAGCGTCACTTAAAAAAAGTGCAAAAAAGTCCTTGAAGTAAAATGATTTCAGTTGTCTTTTGAAAATTTCAACAGATTCACATTTTCTCATATTAATAGGTAGTTCATTCCACAATTTTGGTCCTATCGTGCTAAAAGCTCTGTCAGAAAAAGTCCTCTTCTTATTAAAAGGAACAACATAACAACCAACTGAGGATTCAGATGATCTTAAGGTTCGTTTTGACACTTGATGAGACAAAAGCTCTATTAAATATGATGGTGCGTTCCTACCGAACAGTTATACATGTATGTCAGTATCTTGAAACTGATTCGTGCTTTAATCGGAAGCCAGTGCAGATCGAATAATGCCTGTTTAGAACTATCATACTTGGAACGACCTAACACCAGTTTGGCACACATATTTTGAATACGTTGAAGTTTGGCTAATTCATTTTGAGATATGCCGTACAGAATGATGTTGCAATAATCTAAATGGGATATTACTAAAGATAAAACAAGTGTTTCAGCGGCTTCCTTTGTCAGATACTTTCGAATGCTCTTGATCTTGAAATAGTTTAACATAGCAGTTCTACACTTTCTTTAATGTGATCTTTGAAATTTAGAGACTCATCCAAAAAAGCACCAAGATACCGTATACAATGTTGTGATTCAATAACATTACCACATATATTGATTTCTTTGGTGTTACACTTATTCAGCTGTGGACGACTTCCGAAAAGAATAAACTCTGTCTTTGAATTGTTCATTTTTAACTTGTTGCTGTTCATCCACTCATTTATATGCACTGCACAGTCCTGGAGGTCCCGAATTGCGCTTGCTTCTGCGGTAGGTGATGGTTTAAAACGTTTATTCGCAACGTGGTCGTCGGCAAATCCGTGCACGGAAATGGAGGGAGGTACAATGTCAAAGATAGTTCCTGCGTACGTCAAGTAGAGCCAAGGGCCCAAACAGCTTCCCTGAGGGACACTACAGTCAAGTTCCCGTTCTGATGACACATTCGAGTTAACACTCACTCGACAGCTACGCGGCCTCAAATATGAATCTATCCATTCCAGCGCAGATCCAAAGACGCCATATTGACTTTCAAGAACATTTAACAGTATGTTATGGTCAACAGTATCAAAAGCAGCACTTAAAT